CTCTCTCTCCCTCTCTCTCCCTCTCTCTCCCTCTCTCTCCCTCTCTCCCCCTCCCCTCTCCCTCTCTCTCCCTCTCTCTCCCTCTCTCTCCCCTCTCTCTCTCTCTCTCTCTCTCTCTCTCTCCCCTCTCTCTCTTCTCTCTCTCTCCCCTCTCTCTCTCCCTCTCCTCTTTTATTTTTTTTTTTTTTTTTTTTACACAGGGTTTGACAAGGTTAGGATCCCTAGCTTTATTGACAACTATTTACAGGTTAAGGATTCCTAACTTTATTGGCAAGCTAAGAGCTGTTACCTACATCAGCTCATTTGAAAGCATTTTTATTGTTATGAAAAATAGAAGTAGGAAACAGGTTGAAGTTGGAGCCATCTGTGGGCCGCATTTTTCATTTAAATCAACTGACTTTATCTCGTTGACACATTATGCTGTACGAATGTGTTCCCTACTCTAGTCATCCTGGGGATGTATGATCTCAGAAAGGAGTGATGTTCTGGAGAAGGGTACAGGCCAGAGTGAAGTTGCTGCTTTTCTGCCCATCTTGTGGATAAAAGCTTTGTTTTCACGCTGTCCTCTGGAAGTGGATCCAAGTGTGGTATTTTGACATATTGGCCTTGTACATAACAGTAAGGCCACCCACATCCCTCCTATGTTGAAGGCTCTGCTGAAATGGACAGATCTATCCAGGATGGGTCCAGGCGAGAGATGAGAAGTCTGCTCTGTTCTCTACTCTGTCAAGCAGTCGCAGATGAGAGGGGGGCAGGCAAACCAAGAAAGTGGAGCATACTCAAGGTGCGAGCGTACTTGTGCCTGTACAGGATCTTGCAACCCCTACTGTCAAGCAGATGGGAGATATGGCGAAGTGCTGTAAGCTTCCTGGCTGCCTTGTTTGCAAGATTTACAACATGGTTCTTCATGGTTAGTTTGGAGTCAAATTTCACCCAAGGATATCAACTTCTTCTCCAGGTGCCAACATCCTCCATTTCATCCTTATACTGCACCAGCATTACCATCATGTGCCTAGAGACGATCATCATTTGCGTTTTCTCAGGTGCAAATGTTACTTGCCATCTATTTCCCCAGGCTGATATAGCTCTCAGCTGGTGATTGATGTAGCTTAGAGCAGCTGGCATTTCTTCTCTTGGATAAGTGATGTCAGTGTACAGTCGTCTGCATATGCATGTGATTCTGGGTGAGATGAAGAAGGTCGTTGAAGTAAACATTCCATAACAATGACCCAGCACGCTTCCTTTTTGGAACACTTGCCCAATAGGATGTCTTGTGATTCCGTTCCATTGAGAACTACACTTAGAGATCTACCATGAAGGTAGTCACTGAGGAGACATAGCGTAGAGCCTGCAATTCCCAGTGCTTGAAGTTTTGCTAAGAGGCCCTGGGCCCACCCCGGTTTGAAAGCGCCAGCAATGTCCAGTGCTACCACACAGCTGACCCTTTTGGGTTCATCCAGTGACTGGTGCCACTTAGTGGAAGTTTTAACAACGATCAGCAGCAGAGTAACCTTTCCTGAAGCCATATTGACGATCACAAAGTAGTGAGTGGTAGTCAAAAAAGCTCTGTCATTTGTCTTGAGATTATTGTCTCAAGGATCTTACCAGTGATTGAAAAGGAGTGACACTGGTCTGTAGTTGCTGATTTCTGCTCTGCTCTTCTTTTTGTGAACAGGGACTACAAATTCGCCTCTTTCCATAGAGAGGGCCATTTACACTGTGTACTAGGCAGTGCTGAAAGATGCGAGTTAGAGGTGCTGCTAGCTGGTCTGCACATCTTCTCAACAATCTTGGGCTCAACTTGTCTGGGCCCACAGCCTTTTCTTGGTCAAGCGATTTAAGTAGGAAATGCACCTCCTCCTGCCTTATTGTCACCACTGACAGTTTTGACACAGTTCTTGCAGCTAGCCAAGGAGGGTCCCTTGCTGGATCTGGAACTTGCATTTTGGTAGCAAAGTGTTCAGCAAAGAGGTCCGCCTTCTCTTGACTATAGTAGAGGTGGTCCCATCCTGTCGATTTAGAGGTGGAATAAGTTCATCAGGCAGATAACCTTGTCTGTCCTTGACCAGGGACCACCAGGTTTTGGAGCCTACCCTACCTGATGCTAACTTTCTTTAGTGTCCACCTCCCATTTTGCAATGGCCCACTTTTTAACATCACCCATAGCCTACTGGCTTGCATGTGCCCAAGTTCCTGTTATAAAGGTGGGAGGATGTCTCTTTAAAACCCTTCCGCATGCTTTGTAAATTAGCAGTAGCAGCCTCTCTACAACGAAAGCCAAAACCCAAAGGGTTTATCTGTAGGCTTCGTCACATATTGCCGGTGAGGAATGTGTTCTTGTTGTAGATTAAGATGTGTCCAGTGAAGGCTTTTACTTGGTTGTCAACATCCCCTTGGAGAAGAGCATTCCAGTCGGTGGTGGCGAGCTCAGAGCAAAGGGCTGGCCAATTACCTCTTTCCCATAGCCAGGTTGTGCGTGTGGACTCTCACCTCGTTCTGGTCGTAAAAACAGCCTTGTGGTCAGACGATCCAACATAGCCGAGGGGTTGACAAGTGACTATGCCTTCTGCCAGATCACTCACTACTGGGTCAAGGGAGGAGCCAGAGATATGAGTAGGGAAATCAACAAAGTTTCTCATGTCAAACACTGCAAGAAGGTCATCAAAGTCCCTCTGTATAAGGTGCTGGTTGAGGTCACCAACAATTATAATATGTTGACAGTTGTGTTGTAGCAGAAGGGAGTCAATATTTTCCATTAGGAAGTTGATAGGGTCTGCATGTTGCCACTGAGGTCTGTACATTGCACATGCTAGTACAGAGGTACTAGTGTTTATACAGAGCTTGAAGAACATTTCAAGATGTGTAGGGGTGGCAACATCAATGTGCTGGGCATGAACACTTTTAGAGAAGCACACAGCAACACCTCCTCCTTGCCCTTGCCTGTCTCTTCTCATCTCTCTCTGTCTCTCTCTCTCTCTCTCTCTCTCTCTGTCTCTGTCTCTGTCTCTCTGCTCTTGTCATCTCTCTCTGTCTCTCTCTCTCTGCTCTCTGTCTCTCCTCTCTCTCTCTCTCTCTCTCCTCTCTCTCTCTCTCTCTCTCTCTCTCTCTCTCTCTCTCTCTCTCTCTCTCTCTCTTCTGTCTCTGTCTCTCTCTCTGTCTCTGTCTCTCTCTTGTCTCTGTCTCTCTCTGTCTCTGTCTCTTCTCTGTCTCTGTCTCTCTCTGTCTCTGTCTCTGTCTCTCTCTCTGTCTCTCTCTCTGTCTCTCTCTGCTCTCTCTCTCTGTCTCTCTCTCTGTCTCTCTCTCTCTCTCTCTCTCTCTCTCTCTCTCTCTCTCTTCTCGTCTCTCTCTCTCTCTCTCTCTCTGCTGTCTCTCTCTTCTCTCTCCTTTTCTCTCTCTCTCTCTCTCTGCGTGCATGCGTACTCACCTAGTTGTGGTTGCAGGGGTCGAGTCCAGCTCTGGCCCCCGCCTCTTCACTGGTCGCTTCTAGATCACTCTCCCTGCACCATGAACTTTATCATACCTCTGCTTAAAGCTGTGAATGGATCCTGCCTCCACCACATTGCTTCCCAAACTATTCCACTTCCTGACTACTCTGTGACTGAAGAAATACTTCCTAACATCCCTGTGATCCATCTGAGTCTTCAACTTCCAACTGTGTCCCCTTGTTGCTGTGTTCTGTCTCTTTCCACTTTGTCAATTCCTCTCGGTATTTTATATGTCGTTATCATGTCCCTCCCCCCCATCTCTCCTGTTCTCTAGTGTCATCAGGTCGATTTCCCTTAATTTCTCCTCGTAGGACATACCCCTTAGCTCTGGGACTAGTCTTGTTGCAAACCTTTGCACTTTCTCTAGTTTCTTTACGTTGCTTGGCTAGGTGTGGGTTCCAAACTGGTGCCGCATACTCCAATATGGGCCTAATGTACACAGTGTACAGTCCTGAACGATTCCTTATTAAGATAGCGGAATGCTGTTCTTAGGTTTGCTAGGCGCCCATATGCTGCATCAATTACTGGTTGATGTGTGCCTCAGGAGATGTGCCTGGTGTTATACTCATCCCAAGATCTTTTTCTTTGAGTGAGGTTTGTGTCTCTGGTGCCTAGACTGTACTCTTGTCTGCAGTCTTCTTTGCCCTTCCCCAATCTTCATGACTTTGCACTTGGTGAGGTTGAACTCCAGGAGCCAATTTCTGGACCAGGTCTGCAGCCTGTTCCAGATCCCTTTGTAGTTATGCCTGGTTCTCGTCCGATTGATTCTTCTTATCAACTTCACATCTTCTGCAAACAGGGACACTTCGGAGTCTATTCCTTCCATCATGTCGTTCACAAATACTAGAAACAGTACTGGTCTTAGGACTAACCCCTGTGGAACCCCACTCGTCACAGGCGCCCACTCTGACACCTCGCCACTTACCGTGACTTGCTGCTGTTCCTGGTTTGTGTGTTAGTGTGAGTATATATGTGTGTGTGTGTTGTGTTTTAGATTAGGAGTGAGTGTAGAGAACTTGTTTTTATTAATTGACATGCAGTTGGAGTGTCATCAAAGTAACATTTATGAAGGGAGAGTGTGTGTTGGACTCTGAAGAGGAGGGGTGGGGATGTTGCAGTCAGAGGGTAATCTGATTGAAATGCCAGCACACTTTTGGAGAGGCAGCAAATGTATGAATGATGTTGAATGCATATTCTTCTTTTGAGTCACTTTGCCTTCGTGGGAGATGGCTGTTGAGTTGAAAAAAAATTGCAGATTTGGTAAAGGCTTATTATTTTTGTAACTGCAGCTTTAATTTTCCCTCTGAAAATTTGCAAACATCTAGAATGAGCACAAGTTTGTACTTAGGCAAATGTAGTTGAAAACTATAGGGTGTTCTGTTAAAAAAGTTTTTTTAAGCAATATTTGCCTCAGTAATAAGGAGGGCAGGGCTTTGGTAGTAGAAATAATCTCAGTATCAGATAAACTGCTTGATAACATTCACAGCCCCTAAATACTTAATACTTTATTCACAGGCCCTGGTGTAGCAAATACTATGCAGTCCCATCAACAAGGCAATCTTCACATGCCTGCCCCACAGCAAAACCAACAAAGACCTCGCTTTATGAGGCCACGAATGCCAACAGGGCAGCAACAAAGTGGGCCCCGTCCTCTTAATCAGAATCGCTTTCGTAGAGGGCTGGGACCTCTAGATCGATCACACCAGGAGCAGCAGATGAATCGACCACGTGATAACACTGGATATCAAATGAGGTTACCACCTCCAACATTCAGTGAACCTCCCCGAGTAACACAGATTCTGTGTATTCACAAGAGTCTCATCGGCATCAACAATTTAATCAACAGCATCAACCAGGACACCACTTTCATCAAGGTCCACCACAGGATTTGTCACCTCACCAGCATGGGCCCCCACTGCAGCGTCACTTTGCCACAACTCATCAACCACCACTCATCAACCATTACCACATCAACCACCACCACCACTCATAGCCAGCCCCCTCTCCACTCCCAGCCTCCCCCAGCACATCTCTCCAGCCCCCACCATCCCAGCAGCATCATCAGCCTCAACATCATCAACATATTGAACCACAACACCACCATCCACCACCATCACATCAGCACCCATCTGATTTGCAGCTCCATTCTAACGTACAGCCTAGTCTCCCTCCCCCACAACAACATGGACCTCCACCCCACATCAGAGCCCTATTAGGCCCTCCCACACTGCTCCCCACAACACACACGTCCCTCCTCCAGAGTTTCATCCTAGACCATCAGTTACTCATCAATGATCAATACCCAGCCAACTTGATACATTTCCCCAAGAGGTCCACCTCCTGTTCTCACTCATGATGAAAGTGGTAATCATGATTATAATACTGAACACCAATATAATGAACCTCCTCCATCTTGGGATAATCGTTCACAATCATACACAGATTACAGTAAAGGCTCCAGTGAATCTTACGATGATGATTATTACCAGGAGGGCCAAAATGTAGATACAGATAATATATATCAGGGTGTGTATGGCCAGTATCCAGAATACAATGCAACTTCTGAAGGGTTTATAGCAGTAATTATCAAAAGCACCAGCAGTATGATGATGAATATCCAAATCAGTATCAACAAGAAGAGTACAGTGAAGGTTATGAAGATTATCAAGATCAACATAACTCTGAAGGTATAGGGAATAAACAAGGGTGTTAGAAGCAGACTAGCTGGACGCCTGTCTTTCAACCACAATCCTCATCATCTTCAGGTAATATATTAAAGGAAATTTTTTGTATATTAAGCAGTAGTGGGCTATTGGGATAAAAATAAGTATCAAATGGGGTGCTCCCCAAAATAACTAGAGCTGAGGAATATGAGTACTGTAATGAAAAAACAAAAGAATTTAAAGCATAGATTTGCTCCTGTAACCATCAATAGGTATGTTAATTACAATGTCAGTAGTTAAAATGTAGGCATTAAATGAGCGCCGCACACCAATTATGTAATTGTTAGTAACAATGTTTGTAAGGTGCTGCTACATTGGCTGTTGATGCTGTGTGTGGAAGCTTCAGAACATAGAATGTGAATTGGCACAAAGACAAACATTACATAATACCGAGGAAGAAGTGAAGAGGCTTCTGAGTGAGCTAGGTACCTCAAAGGCAAGGGGGCCCGGGATAACCTCTCTCCATGGGTCCTGAGAGAGGGAACAGAGGCACTATGTGTACCCTTAACAACAATATTCAACACATCTATCGAAACAGGGAGATTATCTGAGGTATGGAAGACAGCAAATGTAGTCAAAATTTTTAAAAAAGGAGACAGACATAAAGCACTAAACTACAGACTAGTGTCACTGACATGTATAGTATGCAAAGTCATGGAAGATTAGCAGAAGAGTGGTGGAACCCTAGAAAGGAATGATTTCATCAACAGCAGCCAACATGGTTTCAGGGATGGGAAATCCTGTGTTACAAACCTACTGGAGTTCTATGACACAGTGAGGCAGTAAGACGAGAGAGGAGGGGTGGGTCGATTGCATTTTCTTGGACTGTAAGAAGGCATTTGACTGCTACACGCAAGAGATTAGTGCAAAAACTGGAGGGACCAGTCAGGGATAACAGGGAAGGCACTACAATGGATCAGGGAATATTTGTCAGGAAGACAGCAGCGAGTCATGGTACATGGTGAGGTGTCAGAGTGGGCACCTGTGATGAGTGGGGTCCCACAGGGATCAGTCCCAGGACTAGTGCTGTTTCTGGTATTTGTGAATGACATGACAGAAGGAATAGACTCCAAAGTATCCCTGTTTGCAGATGATGTGAAGTTGATGAGAAGAATTCATTCGGATGAAGACCAGGCAGAACTACAAAGGGATCTGGACAGGCTGCAGCCCTGGTCCAGAAATTGGCTCCTGAAGTTCAACCCCACCAAGTGCAAAGTCATGAAGATTACGGAAGGGCCCAAAGAAGACCACAGACGGAGTACAGTCTAGGGGGCCAGAGACTACAAACCTCACTCAAGAAAAAAAGATTTTGGAGTGAATATAACACCAGGCACATCTCCTGAGGCTCACATCAACCAAATAACTCTGCAGCATATGGGCGCCTAGCAAACAAGAACGCATTCCACCATCTTAAGGAATCGTTCAGGACCCTGTACACTGTGTACGTTAGGCCCATATTGGAGTATGCGGCACCAGTTTGGAACCCACACCTAGCCAAGCACGTAACGGAACTAGAGGAAGTGCAAAGGTTTGCAACAAAACTAGTCCCAGAGCTAAGGGATATGCCCACGAGGAGAGGTTAAGGGAAATTGACCTGACGACTCTGGAGGACAGGAGAGATGGGGGGTATGATAATGACATATAAAATACTGAGAGGAATTGACATGGTGGACAAAGAAAGGATGTTCCAGAGATGGGACACAGGCCCAACAAGGGGACACAGTTGGAAGTTGAAGAAAAGATGAATCACAGGGATGATAGGAAGTATTTCTTCAGTCACAGAGTAGTCATTAAGTGGGAATAGTTTGGGAAGTGATGTAGTGGAGGCAGGATCCATTCATAGCTTTAAGCAGAGGTATCATAAAGCTCATGGTTCAGGGAGAGTGACCCAGTAGCGACCAGTGAAGAGGCAGGGCCAGGAGCTATGACTCGACCCTGCAACCACAACTAGGTGAGTGCACTGCGTACTTGTCAGTACGCATTAAATAATTACAATAAAAAAGTTTGCCTGATTGGGTTTATAATGATTGTCAATTTATTCTGCATCTTTTTATTGTTTTTTGTTTTAATTGCTGTATCAAAAGCATTGCTGAATTAAAATGATAATACTGTCAAGTCAAATGAATACAGATGCAGCTAATGTGACAGTCTGTTGTGGCATTGTTTTTGGCAAGATATTGCCACAATAAAATGTCATATTAGTTGTATCCGTGTCCATGTACCTAAGTTTTTGTTGGTAATTCTACCATTATTACTACTGTGAAGTTGGTTTTTAGTTCATGCTCCTCTCATATTCTTCTCAGGTTAAAGTAATGCAGTCATCTCCACAAGAGCCAGTAACATCTGTTACTCATAACCAAGTTGGACAAAAAATCCAGACAGTTCAAAGACGGGACTGGGAAAATTTCACGGAAATTTCGTAGAATCACTCGAAAGAACATAAAGGGCGATGTAGTGTCTGTTAAAAAGGTAAGGAAAGCCATATATAAATTACTGATAGGTACACTATTAATATTTACTTCTTCCCTTGTAAAGGTTCTATTTAAAGTCAACAGCTGTGGAACTCTTTAGATAACTGCAAAGGTTTGCTTGAAAAATAATACTTTATTGGCAATTATTTTTCTTCTACATATCTAGCTGTTAAGCGAATTACAGTAGCTCAGATTCATTTTTAATATTTGCCGAGTTTTCATAAACCTTAGATATGCTAGGTAATGATAAAATACTGTAATATAGTATATTTAGAAAAATAACCTAATAGAAAAATATCATTGAATATAAGAAGTGTCGTGTAAAATACAGTACATCAATTAAGAAATGGTAAATAAAGCAGTGGCACTGGTGAGGAGGTAGAATATATGTTCAGGTTCAGAATGATATTTTTGTTAAGATGGTGATGTGTAGCTTGAGTTAAAGAGGTGAAAATACAGACCTGATGTCAATGTAGCTTTGTGAAGTAATTATTGAATGCGTATTTTATTTTGCAGGAAATGTTTTTAAACTCGTGTAATCCTTGCCAGACACTTAATTTACCATACACCGTAATCTTAATGCAATGTACGTGGAAAAATAATGCACTTGAATTTGATCTATCTTGATGCCATTTTTGTTTTATTCTTAGTTTGGGTTTTTACTTGTTTGTCTATATTTAATTTATTATTTGTTTCAAAGGATTTTGTATGTACAGCTGTATTGTGAATAATTTGTTTAAAGATCTACTGTTGTTCCCTTTGACCTTCCTACGTGAAACTGGATTTTCACTTCTTAATTTTGGTCAGTCATGGAGCTGGCGTTTGCTACCCATTTGTGAACATACCACCTAGAATGGTATGGCTTGTTGGTCAAAAAAAATTCTCGTCTCTTTTTACTAAAAATGTGGTTAATTGTCCTATGATAGGGTTTTATATTTATAATGATGTTATCAGTCATTTAAGAGTTATACAATATACTGTATATAGTTCAGTATATGTATAAAAAGAGGGCTTAACAATGGTGTGCCACATAGTTTCTTGCCTTTACATCACTGATAGTGATGTAAAATTCCATTGAGATTGTGGGGTACTTTACCCCTACAGTGGACCCCGAACTAACGATCAGCTCCCAACTTGACCAATTATGTAAGTGTATTTTTGTAAGTGCTTTTGTAGGTGTATTTTTGGGGGTCTGAAACGGACTAATCTAATTCACAGTATTCCTTATGGGAACAAATTCGGTCTATAACGGTACCCGATCAGACTTCTGGATTGAAATAATATCGTTAGTCGGGGGTCCACTGTATTTGAAGGGTTGAAACACCCCTTTTTTTGTATGCAGTACTGGTAAGGTAAATAATGTGCTACGTATGTAGAACTTTTAATGATAGTTGCATAGGAACATCATAGTGTAGACATATTATTTTATGATTTTAATATCCTTGTTTGTTTTTTTACTATTAGATTCCTGTTGATGAAGAAGGTAACCAGATTGGCCCACCAATAACAGAATTTGATATCAGCGACTTAGTCACAGATGGAATGGATAATCCAACATCTTTATTTAATCAACAGCAAGTGAGTATAACATATATTATTTTATATTATTTTTTATTAACACATCTGCTGTTTCCCACCAAGGTAGGGTGGCCCCCCCCCCCCCCAAAAAAAAAAAAATCTCATCATCATTCACTCCATCACTCTCTTGCCAGAGGCATGCTGACACTACAGTTGTACAACAACAACATTAACATCCCTTCTTCAGAGTTGCTGGCACTGTATTTCCCATCTCCAGGGATTATGCCGTTTCCTGAATCCCTTCATAAATGTTACCTTGCTTACATTCTAACAGCACGTCAAATCCTAAAAACCATCTGTCTCCATTTGCTCCAATCTAACACGCTCACGCACGCTTGCTGGAAGTCAAAGCCCCTCACACACACAAAACCTCCTTTACCCCTCCCTCCAACCTTTCCTAGGCGACCCCTATCCCAGCTTCCCTCCATTACAGATTTATACATTCGAAGTCATTTCGTTTCTTCCTCTCTTCATGTCCAAATCATCTCAATAACCCCTCTTTAGCCCCTGGATAATAGTTTTGGTAATCCCACACCTTCTAATCTCCAAACTATGGATTCTTTGCATTATATTCACACCACACATGTATAGTATACCAAATTTTTTTGCACATTGGCCATTTCCCACAAAGGTAGGGTGACCAAAGAAGGAAACACATTCACCATTACTCAGTAGCTATCTTGCTAAAGTTCATGAACATTACAGTTCAACTGACCCTTGGAACAGCAACATCCTTGCCCATCTTTCAGAGTGTAAGCAGTGTATTTCTTACCTACAGAACTCTTAAGTCCTGCCAACTGGTTTCCTCAGATATCTTCATAATGTTACCCTGCACATGCTCCATAGCAGGTAGAATCCCAAAACCCACTTGTCTCTGCTTGTATGAAAATGATGTGTACATAGTACATAAGTAACTCGCACATAGGAGAGGGAAGCTTATGATGATGTTTCGGTGCCTTTTTATTTTTTATATATACATAGTGTACAGTTGCTTAAATTTGTACTCGCCTAATTGTGGTTGCAGGGGTCGAGACTCGGCTCTGGCCCGCCTCTTCACTTACCGCTACTGGGCCCTCCTCTCCCTGCTCCATGAGCTTTATCATACCTCGTCTTAAAACTATGTATGGTTCCTGCCTCCACTACATCACTTGCCAGACTATTCCATTCCTAACAACTCTGTGGCTAAAGAAATACTTCCTAACATCCCTTTGACTCATCTGAGTCTTCAACTTCCAATTGTGGCCCCTTGTTCCTGTGTCCATCTCTGGAACATCTGTCTCTGTCCACCTTATCTACCCCATGCAGTATTTTGTATGCCGTTATCATGTCACCCTTGACCCTCCTGTCCTCCAGTGTCATCAGACCGATTTCCCTTAACCTTTCTTCATAAGACATTCCCCTTAGCTCTGGAACCAGCCTTGTTGCAAACCTTTGCACTTTCTCTAATTTCTTGACATGCTTCACCAGGTGTGGGTTCCAAACTGGTGCTGCATGCTCCAGTATGGGGCCTGATGTACACAGTGTATAGAGTCTTGAATGATTCCTTACTGAGGTATCAGAACCCTATTCTCAGGTTGGCTGGCGCCCATATGCCGAAGCAGTTATCTGGTTAATGTGTGCTTCTGGTGACATGCACTGTATTATACTCACCCCTAGATCTTTCTCCTTGAGTGAGGTTTGCAGTGTTTGGCCACCTAGCCTATACTCTGTCTGCAGTCTTCTTGCCCTTTCCCGATCTTCATGACTTTTCATTTAGCGGGGTTAAATTCTAGGAGCCAGTTGCTGGACCACGCGTCCAGCCTGTCCAGGTCTCTCTGTAGACCTGTCTGATCCGCATCTGATTTAATTCTCCTCATTAACTTCAACATCATCTGCAAACAGGGACACTTCTGAGTCTATCCCTTCCGACACATCATTCAATATTCCAAGAATAGCACTGGTCCCAGGACTGACCCCTGTGGGACCCGCTCGTCACAGGCACCCACTGTGATACCTCATCAAGTACCATGACTCGTTTTGCCTCCCTGTCAAGTATTCTCTGATCCATGCAGTGCCCTTCCTGTTATACATGCCTGATCCTCTAGCTTCTTCACTAATCTCTTGTGAGGAACTGTGTCAGAGGCCTTCTTATAGTCCAAGAAAATGTAATCAACCCACCCCTCCCTCATGTCTTACTTCAGTTACCTTGTCATAAAATGCCAGTAGGTTTGTGACACAGGATTTGGTGTGTATCTATGTATGTATATTTTTTAACTTGGTGACCATCTTCTAGTAAGGCATTGTGATCCAAAGAAGAAAGCACATTCACCATCATTCATTTAATTGCTGTCTTGCCAGAAGTGTGCTGGCATCACAGACTACCCTCTGAGTGCAGCGTCCCACCCTGCCTTCACAGTTCAAGCACAGCTCTTGTATATATATTTTTTAACACCAGTCGTCCCTCACCATGATGATGTGACCCAAAAAAATAAACTTGTTTATCATTATTCTTTCAATCATTGTTTTTTTTCACATTCAGTTATCAATTCACTGAATTGGAGAGGTTGCACCAAGCCTCATAATGGATACATACAAAAAGATACATATAGAGAAGATACAAAAAAAATTGAGGAAGACTTTCTAACTCCATTAATAGGCAGAACATGAATCCATAACTATACACTGAGGAAGAGGAGCTGCCAAAAGGATACTAGAATTTTTTCTTTCTAAACAGAGTGGTAGAACATTGGAATACATTACTATAGAAAGTAGTAAGTGCTACCATCAGCAGAAAATTTTAAAATATAATGTGATAGACTAAACTGACAAGACCTCACAAGTTTAGTCCTGGTCTTAGAGCTACACTAGTAATTGCCAATAATCATTTTTTCATTGCTATTTTTCCCATCAAAAGTAAAATTATAATTTGAGTGTATGCATTTTGAGATATAAAAAATATGGACAACCCTATTTCTATAATCACCCATGCAGATTTGGTACCTGCTTTCTAATGCTGCTAATATTGATAATGATAATAGTAACGATAGTCACCCTGCCTCGGTGGGAGATGGCTTACTTGTTAAAAAAAAAAAAAATAGTAACGATGATTCATACTATAACTGAATTATTTATTATTAGCACAATGACCGATTCCCACCAAGGCAGGGTGGCCCGAAAAAGGAAAACTTTCACCATCATTCACTCTGAATTATATACTGTATTTTTAGAGAAAGCTCAGTCACTTATGAGAGGTTGTGACTGAATGATAGATGGATATATCTTTGTGTAGGTTGTTTGTTTATAAAGCAAAGGAAAATATTGCAGAAAATTTAATTATTTGAACAATATTTTTGTTAAAAACATCAGCTGTTTCCCACCAAGGCAGGGTGGCCCAAAAAAGGAGAAGACTTGATTTATTACATATTGATTATATGACATTTCACAATTAACTCCTAAGTAGAAAATGATAATGGGATTATATATCTATTTGTCCTGGACCATCATCATTTGGTCAAGAATGGACTGGGAAAGGTTATCTCAGTTTTATCTCCAATTTTTTACTTTTTGTGACTTGTCAGAGTCATGATATTGTGATCTTATCATCATAGCCTATAAAATAAATATGTATTTTATGGAAAAAATATAGCCCAAGAGACTGTTTGGGATTGGAAATGAAAGTTCTTTATGGCAGAGGATGAGTTTATGTGGAAATGCAACCTCACTTGATATGTCAACTGTGTACAGTTATACACTAAATCATGGTGAGTGGCTTTAATATTGTGGAAGAACATTTCCACATTGACTTAAAGTATGTTATTATGTTACTGGAGGATACATGTGAATGGGTGTGCTTTATTATGCTTGATCTCCAGTTTACATTTGAAAAGCAAAATGCTTGTGGTATACATTTCTTCTCACTAATTACTCTTAGATAAATTGGCTGTTTTAATCTTTGTATAATAAGTGAACATTGTTTTTTGTGCAGCAACGTGTACCTGTAGTCAAGACCTTGCGACAAATAGTAGAAAGGTGCCAGTTTCTCAGCAACAACAGCAACAGCAGTCACAATCTCAAATCAAGCTAAGGGATGCTCCACAGATTAGTCAGTCCACACAGCAGCAGCAGCAGCAGCAGCAGCAGCAGCAGCAACAGCAACAACAGCAGCAACAGCAGCAAAAAACAGCAACAAGTTAAATTTGTAAAGAGGACAGTTGTTTCTTCAGATGTGTCATCACAGGTTAGGACCAAATTTTAATTTCTGCTATTATGTCTAGATCATGAATTAGATAAAAAATGTTTTAATTAATATGCAAACATGTGAGAATTCTAAATTCAGGACAAAGTACACCTGCCCTGAAAACAGTATAATAAAAAGTTGTTCTCCATTAATCCATACAGTTTCTCTTTACTTACAAAATCTTCATGTCAGTCTTGGAAAAAGTTCTTTTATCATTTGAATACCATGGAGATGCATTAAATGTAGCAATTTTGCCAATTTCACACAAATTTCAAAAGATGCCAATTTCCAAATAGGGTCCAGAATATACAAGATGGACATTCCTGGCACTAAAATAACATTTCCTTGTTCATTAGTCATGTCCCCACGCCCCTCTTACATTTCTTTTGCTTTCCACTTTGAATTTTTATTCTCACCAAAAAATAGAAGATTTACTGTTATGCAGACTACTACATTAGTGTAGAAATGGTATAAATAATATCAGCGCACTTGTGAAAGAATATTAGACTCACCAGTTGACGTGTATTGGACATGTGGCATGATTTGTTTACTTTTGAACTTTGGCAAAAATCGAACATTTCTGCTACTTTGAGCTCAATTTCAAGGTACTTTTCATTGTGAAACCAATCAAAATCATCTCAATTTCTGTAATATGTCTTCCATTCTATAAAATGAGACCAGGAAAACTAGAATACAACCATAAATACCATACGAAAATACACTGCAAAGTCGCTGTTTTAAACCAAAAACACGGTCAAGTTTTTTTTTTCTCATTACGCACTGTGTGCTGCAGGATTTTTTTTATACTGTGCACAGTGACCACATAGACCCATACTTTCATATTTTAGGCTTACCATCTTTCACTAGATTTGAAGGCGCTAGAATTTATCCCTACTAGTATGTCAATAACCCTGGTGGGGTAAGCCGTACTAGTACGTCGGAAACCCTGAAAGGGTTAAGTGAGGAGAGTCTGTAGTACATACATGCAATAAAATAAAGTAGCTAATCCTTTATTAATTTTATAATGCTAAAGTGATATACATTTTCAGTCAAATACAGCAGGTCGGCGCATAGTGACAGCAGGCACACAGCAGTCAGTGAGTGGTGGAGTTGTGCATCGCCCAGGTGGTGGCATTCGTCGGGTAATCAGTTCAACCTCCTCGTCTAAATCAGCTGATGGACATGACCTCCCACTGTCCAGCTATGTGATTTGCCAACCAATCTCACTTTGTCAGATATCAATCAAATGGTGGCTAATGCAGGGGTAGGGCAAAACCCTTTTGGGATGTATATATTTACTGCAGCAAACCCGTTTTTCTTTATCTGGCTATATTTACCTCTTCATTCTCAGGGACTCCAAAAAAATTAAAATTGCTCTCAGTGTCCACTTTTTTTTTCTTTTTTTTTTTTTTTAAAGAAAATTCTTGTGAAATGTTAGAAAATTGTTTTCTGAAGGTAATAATATCATGAGTATGGAATTTGATGAAAAATTTATGAAATTACACAGCACAAAGTTAGCAGTCTGAGTGCAATTTACTCATTGGCAATTTTGCCCACTTTGAGTCTTATATTAAGCCATTTCCATTGCCTCAATTTAATTAAATTTTTAGCTATTTTGTTAGTATACACATACAGCTATTGTAACTACCCTATAAAGTGCACATTCAGACACTAAAACAGTATTTCCTGTGTTCATTAAATCATTTCCTTAGGCCTCTCCTATATTACACTTCCCTTCCATTTTGAATTCATCTTTACATAAAAAAAATTGAATATTTCTGCTGCTTTGAGCCAGTTTCAATATACTTCAGTCTTGAAACCCACAGAAATCATATCTGTTTCAGTAGTAAGTCTTCCATTCTGTCAAATGATACCAAGAAATAGCCTAAAAAATTATAAAAACATCCTAGAAAATCCCTGAAAGTTGCTATTTTAACCCTTTCTCTGTCCACAACCCCAAAATTAATATTGCTCTCAGTGTCTACATTAAAAAAAAAAAAAAAGATTTCTTACCTGGTGGTAATAAAACAAGTCAAAATTTTTGATCAGTATTTACCCAAATATAATGATGTGAAGTTTAAGGTCAGTGATCTTCTGACTGCCACATTTCGATAAACCAAGCACTCCGCATTTTTTCTATTTATTATTTTGTTCTTTTTTTCTGGGGTATTCTATTTTTTACATTTTCCAGTAACTTTTGTGGCCCATGAGATCTATATCATACACAATGTACATATATCTACCTGTTGTATGTAAGACAATACCCACACTAATAGTGTCATCAGTACATACATTGTTTACAAAAAAAACATGAACACACAGGTACAATGTTTCACATTACTAAGGTTCCAATATTTTTTGTTTAATGCTTTGGTCATCTCCCACTGAGGCAAGGTGACTCAAAAAGAAACACTTTCACCATCATTCACACATAATCACTGTATGTATTTTATATACAGGCACTGAACATCCTTGGAAAAGGATGGAGGAAGGGGGTTGAGGAGGTTTTGTGTGCAAGGGGCAAAGGACATTCAGCAGGCATGTGTGAGTGTATTAGATAGGAGTGAGTGGAGGCAAATAGTTATTATTACTGCTTAGATGACTCTTCGAACTGTACCACCCACCCTCCACCTCTCTTTCAGAGTGAAGGCACTGTACTTTCTACTCCCAAGACTTGAATCCAGTTAACTAGCTTCTCTGAATTTTGTCATAAATGTTACTTTGTTCACACTCCAACAGTATGCCAAGTCATAAAACACCATGCCTCCACTACTGCCAGACACACTCACACAAGGCATTTGATATTATATAACTTATCAGTTAAATATTGTTTAACAAAAGCACACTGTTTGAAAACTTTATTGATACTGGACAGTAAAATCTCTTATTCAAAATAATGTGTGTATATGGGTTCAGAAACCAGTTAAATGTAATGTATACCTGATATTGTATGACTCAGTCAAATTGTATCAGTGAATTCAGAATCAGATGATTTTTCTTAAGGATATTCTGAATTTTTGCTTTTATTTTGACATTGTAACTTCAAAATTTTTCCTAATTAAGTTTTTTGTAAAGTATTTTCTCTCTTGAAGAATTTAGAATTTTAGAGATTTAAAGTTTCATTTTTTCTGAATAATAGAATTCTGAATAGTAGAATTTTGTATAATAGAATTCTGTATAATAGAATTCTGTTAAAAAATATAGAATTCTGTATAATAGAATTCTGTTATAAAATTGAATTTCTGTATAATAGAATTCTGTATAATAGAATTCTGTATAATAGAATTCTGAATAATAGAATTCTGAATAATAGAATATAATAAGAAAAATAGAATTATTGAATAATAGAATTTTGAATAATATGGAATTCTGTGTAATAGAATTCTGTATAATAGAATTCTGTATAAGAATTTTGAATTAACCCTTAAATTGTCCAAATGTAGATCTATGTTCATGTGCGTAGCACTCCGAACTTTTTATTTCACATGCTGTCTTATGTGAAAAGAACATAGATCTACGCTGGAGCACTACGCACGTGAACCTAGATCTACGTTTGGACAGTTTAAGGGTTAAAGATGTTTTCATGCCATGGCCATTTACCACCTAGGGAGGATGAGATGCTTATTGCAGTATTTAGAAACACTTACCTATCCTCACAGTACTTAAGTTAATCACATATGAGAAAAATGCTTTAGGTTACTGTGTCTTTTTCCAGAGTGTTGACTATGTGCCGGGTTCTCAGGAGTGCATTATAACATTTAGAGTGCCAGAAGTTGCAGCAAAATTCTACCAGAAAATTAACAGGAGAATGGTAAATATGTCATTCATAAGAGCAAAGATGATTCTGTAAGAGTTTTTTTTTTTTTTTTTTAAGTGATCTCGCCATTTAGATTGTCTAAATATTAGCATTTTTTATTATTCAAGGTTGTTTCAAACCAATATGGTTTTCTAAGCACTAAGGCATTTTGGAGATATTTAAGAATTTGTATACAATATTGAAGCTGTTTTGTTCAAGTTCCCATTTTATTTAAAAAATTTGGAGTAAAATCAGGAATTATGTGGCATTAGTTGCAATTATTCAGATGTCTGTCCACCAGTATAAATATTTGATGCCTTGGTCCTATGAATTGTTCCATGAAGCAGGGTGGCATATACAAGGTATAGGCAAAATTTGATTTTAACTTTTATATGGAACTTATCTCATGTAGCTGTAAACTGTTGGCGTGTAAGTTTTTTTTTCAGTACATTGGGTGTCTCCCACCGAGGCAGGGCAACCCAAAAAAGAAAGAAACACTTTCACCATCATTCAATACTTTGCTCTTCATTGGATATGAAATGAAATACACTACTTACTATTAATTTTGTTTTTCAACAAACTTTAGGTTAGTCAGGCTTTGTTCCCATACATGGTTCATAGCTTTATTGTAAGTTCTTACTGTAGTAAGTCATTGATTTGAAATAGCTATTGTAAGTGATGATTACTTTCCTACTAGTTACTTTAAACAATCAGGATAAAGGCATATAATGGTATGAGTCATGTTGTAGATCTAATTGTATGTTTAGCTGATTTTGTTAATGGATTTATTTAGAAGTTATAACACTAAACAACTTTTGTCATCACGAAAGACAACAGCTTTATGGAAAAATAATTATGCACAAAAATTACCTGAAAGGCACTGTAGCAACTCTGCCCTACCTCTCACCACTCTGCCACCATGGGAAATAAAATTAATTTTCTGCATTGTGTCTGCTGATGAGCATCCCTGCTGTCATTGTGCTGCCACCTGTTATTATTTGGCTGTATTTCATGTACCTAGAGAGAAGCAGAATTTAAAATATTACATATTGATATTGTATAGTGATCCAAATTATAGTTTGATGAACACACAACCTGTATATGTACCTTGATTGTATATATGGAACAATTAGTGTTTTTGAAGTCCTCTCTATTGGATGATATTTCTTTAGGAGGTTTACATGTGGAAAGTCACCCATTTGAGGGAATTTTCATAACATTATCTGTCGCAAACGCTTTAAGAGGAACACTTGATTAAGAGCACTTGCCATAATTTATGTTGCCATTGACCTCGTATATGGGTATGGTTGGTGCCAGTTTGATGATGGTTGTGTAGCTGGTATTGTCCTGTAAATTATGTGTTACTTCAAGATGTGTGTACTTTTTATGATTTATGGGGCAATAGGCTAATAACCATGCCATGCTGAGCACCTTTCTTGCTGGAGATATTAATATAGATTTGTTAATCTACTGTTATTCATGATTTTTAAGAACTTAAACCATCTTTGGGCAGATAGTCATAGCTTAGAATACTGTTGATACCATTTTAATCTGTAGATCCAGCAAATAGGGGCAAGTGTTGATTATATTGTATTTTCTACATTCAAAGCAAAACATGTTTTTGAAAACATCTTGCAACTTTGGAGGAGTCGAGATTATGCTTCTCAGTCTTAATTTGTTGCTGTAGTTGCTGTGTTTCTGCCATGGCTCATTATAATTATTATACTGTCCTTGTGTTACAACTGGCTGCTGCTGCTGTGCTGTTTTTCGGGAGGCAAGGAAAACTGGAAATAACTTTTATGTAATTTAATTATTTGTAATGCTATAGAGACGTGTTTTCTAAAAGATAGAAATAAGTCAGTCACATCAATGTTCACACTAAGGTGGTGTATTGTGCACCTTACAACCAAATGCCTACTTCAGAAAATGGTCATTATTTACATGCTGCAATAACAATAACCCAGTTGTCTTGTGTTGATAATTATAGTAGAGTAATACTATAACAATAGGTTAGTTCTGTAAAGCTTCCTCATGTTTTTACTGTTATAAGGCTGAAGTTTTATCACAAAGAACTTAAAAATGCTATAGAGCAACAGCTTCTCTGTTACTATTGCCATTAACATTTTCTAGTGACAATATGAAAATTTCATTGTCTCAGATAGCAGTGATGATATATTCCAGCTGTCTCAGATAGCAGTGATGGTACACTCCAACTGTATCAGAGAGCAGTGATGGTACACCCCAATTATCTCAGATAGCAGTGATGGTATACTCCAGCTGTCTCAGATCAGCAGTGATGGTCACTCCAACTGCCTCAGTATCATGCAGTGATGGTACACTCCAACTGTATCAGAGAGCAGTATGGTACACTCCAACTGTCTCGGATAGCATTTATGGTATGCTCCAACTGTTATCAGAGAGCAGTGATGGTACACTCCAATTGTCTCGGA